ATGATAGTCCCATGTAGTGCTTGTACTTAAACCAGAATCTTGAACCCTGATCCCAAACTCCTCAAATTCTGGATTTCCAGAAATTTACGGTTTGTGCCGGCTTACTTACCTGGCCTATCTTCGGCAGTTCGAAACCCACGCTCTCCATACGATCTTAGCACGACCCTGTAACCATGACCCCTGAGGACCCTAAACCGCAAGAACAGAGCTCCACACGCAACACCCAAACGATAGCATCTAGAAAATAGCAGACCCAATCTAAGACGGGAAGCCACCAGTCTGAGCGACCAAGTGCTGTCGGCTCGAGTCGACCGGCTCTTCCGGGATCTGATTCACCAGTGTGTTGAAAAGAGAATCGGGAAATCTTAAGGTTTGGGTAGTAGGGTTTGGGGTTTGAGGTTGATAAAAACGTGTAAAGGTTTCTTAAGGCCTTACAGTTTTTACCGTAATCCCTCATTCGGGACAGAGAGAAGAGAACCCAAACACTTAGACTCCAAGCCCTAACCCTAAACCCGAAATCCTACCATCCTAAACCTTAAAATCGAGGGGTGCTGAGCGCTCCCAAGGTATCAAGTGCAGGAGAGCTGAGCCAGGCTGTAGGAGTGGGCTCTGCCCCCGCGTCCCGGAGAGAACCCCTTCTCCGGGCCCTTCTATTCGCCGTTCAGGTGTGGTGCACTTCTTCGGGCAACTTGTGGAGCTCCGTCCTTAGAGTGAGCTGCATTTAAGGCAAAAGCATGCCAGTCAGGCGCCCCATTGGGTCTCGGCAGAAAGTCGGAGTCGTCTCAATTCAAGCCGTGGCACCGGCCTGAGCAGGTGTCGTCACTGCGCTTGGATCAGCGTAGAAGCGCAATGTTGTGCTTTGCAGATGCTCCTTTGCTGTTTTAGAAAATGATGGTCATGCGGCGCAGCTATGTCAGCTCGGACTGCTTTTCATTTTGTGTTTCTGCTAAGACAGGTGAAGTCATGGTTACATGCATTTGCAGATTGAAGAAACCCCACCAGATCGCACCAGCATTTCTCCGACAGCTCGTGTTAGAATTGTAGTGAATGAACGCCCGCATCATGCTGTCTCACCCGCACGGTTTTCGAGGACACGTCAAGCCTCGCATAGTCACCGTGTCTTGCAAAAGCCTCCTGTTCGGCACGCAGTTTGCCGTGAATGTTGCGTCCGCAAAATCGCGCTTGAAGCCGGGGTTCGACCTCGCCAAGATTGCAATCTCCGTCATCTCAGCCCTCTCAGCCCTGATAGCCCCGAAGGTGATCTACCCGGCAGCACGACCTATACAAGGGCTGCATCGCCAACTACAGCGTGCGTGCGAGCAAATTTCAGATCCAATTTTTCGTTTCGAGGACAATCCATATCGAAAGATTGGCAGCAAGCGCGCCCTAATACTGCAGGGGAGGAACCAGGAAGGAAAGACCACTCTCCTTCGAACAGCGCTGCCATGGTGGCGTCGTGTCTGGCCGCGATCCTATGAGGGTCTTTACCTCAATGGGGCAGAGCAGCCGGAAATCACTTCTTTTGGGGAGTGGCAAACCGGCCAAATGTACGGCCTCACCACTGCTGCTGGCTCCGAGGTACTGC